TTTCCTCGGGAGATTGCATTAACTGAAAATCCAAGTTCGAAGTGTGTTCCTTTTCTTCTCCGTTGTTCTTTGACACGACATCGGATATTTCCCTTGGTGTCTCCTTTCCCTGCTACAGGCAGGAGAGGAAAGGAGAGGATCTTGTTAAGATCGGTTAAAATCTAACAGCCCTCACCTTGAGGAAACATGCAATTTGCTTGCGGCGAGTTTTCACTGACGCTGTCATTCACTCTTACTCAGTCCGAGGGACATTCTTTGCTTGTCTCCAAGAAGGCTCACCTGTATGGGGTCCTTGCTCCTTTTAAAGGTTTGCGTGCCTGGGCCGGATGATTTTGGCCCTGTCTCCGGGCTTGCGTTCCTTGCTGATATGTTCTTTGCCTACTCTGGATACACTTGGCCGGATAATTTTACACTTGTTACGCTTGTCTCAACTTGTCTCCCATTTGTCTCGGCCTGCTCTGGAGACATTTGGCCGGGTGTTTTTACTCTTGTCTCTTTGCTTGTCGCCCTGCTTAAACACTCTTGGCTGGATGATGTTACGCTTGTTGCACTTGTCCCCACTTGTCTCCCACTTGTCTCGGCCTACTCTGGAATCACTTGGCCGGATTTTTTTTCACTTGTCTCTGCTTGTTTTTTTGCTTGTCTCCCTGCTTAGATACTCTTGGCTGGACGATTTACACTTGTTGCACTTGCCGCTTGTCTCCCACTTGTCTCCCTGCTTGGATTTGTTCCATACGATTTGTTGCATTTGTCTCCATTTGCCTCCCACTTGTCTCGGCCTACTTTGGATACACTTGGCCGGATGTTTTTACACGTGTCTCCACTGTTTTGGGGGGGAAGTTTTAGTGGCAAGTGTGCATCAGCCGTTGTGTGTTTGCTTGGGCCAGTGGTCAGTTGACGTCATATTTTTTTGACCACGCACCGTGACTTCAACAAAATTATCCATTTGTTCATGAGGCTTGCGTAATGAGGCGCAAACCATCTCTTGTAAATCAACAAGCAAATCGATTCAATTAACCATTGTGAAATTACATTAAGGAGGGGCTAGCCTGCCATGAACCATGATTTATACAAGTAGGACAGCTCTCATGACCAAACCTTGTAAGCATGCCTGTTCGATTTTGTTTCTTCCAGTCAGAGGATACGTCGCTTTTGCCTAGTCTGCCAAGGTCCGCCTGGCCAATGTGATATTTGGGTTACGCTCTTTTCGTCCATACTGTGTGCCTTGGGATTGGCCATTGCCTGTTTCGGCTACCGCTTGCATCCCGGTGGCGCTCTCGCGGCCGCTCCCCCCCGGCGTCGGGCTTTGCGCAAGCGAGGGCAGAATCCAGCAGCAAAACCAGAAGTTAGGATATCCAGGATCAGCAAGGATATCTAAGAAAACCTCCCATACGGGAGGTCTTGCATGTGCCACGACCACTTATAGGCTTGTTTCGATCAGCTTTGGTTCCTGCTTGCTTTCAAAAACCAACAGATCACTGACAGTATCACTGACACTTGGACCAATAGATCAACATGTAAAGTGGTCGTTCCCTCGGAATCATATTGTTCCAATATTCCGGCAAGATCCTGGACCCGCTACAGCGTAGCTGGAGATATCATGCGATTTTCCTGATCCTAACGGCCAGTTGCAATGGACTGGCCAGTTTCATGGGTCATGGGCGGCTCAAGAATCAACTATGGCTATCATTGATCCTACCCTGGTGGTGTGCATGGTGCTCATTCACCCGAAGGTATAGCCGTGCCTTTGGGTTGTTCCTCTTCCTGTTGGCCTTCGCGCTGGAAGCGATGATCGGAACCTTTGGTGTTACAGTAAGTTATTGGTATTGCTGCAGTTTTTGTACTGGTGATGTTACTGGTGTTTTACTATGTTTTACTGGTGTTACTGGTGGTATGATGTTCCGGTGTTTTCCACAGTTTCCATTTTTTTGTCGATATTGAAACGGAGCAATAAGTCTGGATTGCCACTGAGCCGGCCAGTTGTTCTGGTCGGTTCCGCCATTCCACCAGTTCCAACATTTGTTTCATTGGGACCAACACCGAAACTTGAAAAAACATTGACCCATTTGTGGCATTGGCTGGTCGAGCCGGAACATGCCAAAACATGTCAAAAACTTTGGTTTTTTCCCATGTGAATCTTGGACAGTTCAGCCAAACTGGACCACTGTTCTTGCAACCGACCCATGCGGCGCGCGCCGCTGACAAGGCACCCAGTGGCTTCAGCGTGGCTCTGGTTCCTTAGGTCAAAAGCTCGCTCCTGGACGGCACCGCCTCGGGTCGTGAGTCCAAAGTGCCCAATCCTTGGAAGGTGTCAGTTTGTTTTTTTTGGACGGGAAAAAGACATGAACAAACTAATCATAGAATTAGAGTCAAAACCATCCAGTTCGATTAGTCTTTTGGTGTGGAAACCCGTCTCAATGACGTAGTGAAGTGCAAGAGCTTCCCCACCAGAAAAAAACACTTCAAACTACTTTGCGATGGGTATACAAGTACCAAGGATTACACCGCCCCAGGGCCACCAGGCAGGCAGGCTTGCCCACTTGGTGGCAGCGCCACTTGGTGCGCTCCCCCTTCTGTGAGGTCATCAGCATCGCCTGCCTGGCCTGGGCATTGCTCGCACGCGCCTGGGCGCCCAAGTTGAAAGGCTTCCTGGAGCCACTGGGCGTTCCAAATTCAGGAAGTACTTCAAGCCGTCCGAGGTCTACATATTGACAACAGAGCCCCGGTTAGAGGGCTGAGAATCAGATTTCAAAGACAGCTACAGTAGCTACAGTGTATATATATATATGTATATATGATCAGATTTCAAAGACAGCTACAGTGTATATATATATATATTATTCATTATGATTCATTCATGTTTATGCCTTAAGCAAAGCCGCAGAGGGGTCTTGAATCAAGGCATGTCCTGGACATCACCCTCGGTGCCATCGTCGGCTTCCTGTGTGTGGCGGTCTTCATGGATTTGCTGGCCTCCCAGGCCTTGACCCATCATCTCGACCTCAAGTCATTAGCTTTTAGAGGGGGATTGTTTTTCGAGAAGTCCATGTTTAGGAGTGATCCTACTGATCGTTCCTGAACACGTAGAGAACGGTGGTTCGTGGGGAATTCCCATTGCTTCGTGTGGGAGAGGCAGATCTCAGGCTCTCAGGGCAGGCTGATCTCGAGTCCGAATGTTCCGTTTGAGATGGGTCAATGTTGGCCGAACCATGCCTTAAGTGCATACTTCCTCACCAGGAAAACTGCATCATGACGTGTCTCATTGGAATTCAGCCACAAAACCACCGCTTCTTGGATCGGCTGGTTGATGGGTGGAAATGAGGAGAACGGCTTTTCATCCGTTCTCCTCGCTGCCCCATACGGCCAGTGTCTCCCGATTCAAAGCCAGCCAGGTGGGCCATTGGTTGAATTATGAGGGACATCCAGAGCCCATGCCCACCCTGCTGCTTCCATAGCCAATGCCTTGTGAGCTTGCATTGGTGGACCCCCCAAGAACTTTGGAAAAATGATGAAAAGAATTGAAAAGGTGAACCTTGACCTGTTGTCTAGTCCAAATTGTTCAAAGATTGTACATGCCTGCATACCCTATGCTTTCCAGATCTTTCCAGGATGAGGAGGTCCCAGAAATACCTCCAGGTCGGTGCGTTGGCTCCTGACTACACTGGTTGGGATGGCTTCGCGGTCCTGACATTAGGCCATGTGACGAGCTGTGGCGGTCGGAAGGCGAAAGTTCGACAGGTGGTGAAGGCCCAAGAAATCCCAAGAAGATGTTTGGTCCTTTGGGGATGCAGTTTACATAGATTCTACATGATTCTACCAGCTTGTTCTTTCAATATATTTCAAGACATGTTGCAAGCGCCCCGACCAGCGCCACCAGCCAGCGAAGCTGCGTAAGCTGCCACGTGGCAGACGCATGTGTAACGAACACTCCGCTCTGGGGGCGGACATGTCGCGGTCCAAATCCGCTCCATTCCGATCCATTCGGCGCCCATGTCGCAGTTTTGAGTTGACTGATCTACCCAGTACTGGTCGATCAGTAGGTTCGATGACGGCCCATGTTTCACCAACCGCAACGGCTTGTTGAATTTTGTTCAAGGGCCAAGTGGCACCCTTGTTCCAGGCATTCCAGTGGCTGTAGCAGTGGCCTGGCACAGCCGTGGCTGGAGCAAGCTGCTGTTTGTGAAGCTTGGCCTACCTAGCACAAGGGGGGGATGCAAGGAGTAGCTTGTTTTTGTTTAGATTTCCCAGGGGGAATGCTCTTCCAGGAATTCTAATGGGCGTCATACTGTTTGTTGCTTTCTAGGTCGACGAATCAAATAGCATGATTCAAAGTCTTTTTTTCCACAGGGATCCCAGGAAGAACCAAGACCACATAGAGAAGGGCGTGGTTCTTTTTGAGACACTCACTCATACTCACTTCAGTTTTCAGAAGGTCGCTTTCTTGAGGATCCTGCGATCGAGGTTGGCCACCGGGCTCTTAGGGGCGCTGCTGGCGGTGGGCGCTGCAGCCTCGATTGCTCGATGCGCGAAGAGCCGCTCTGAGGAATGGAGGGGCTGGAGGATGAGTCTTTGAAGAATTCCAGTGTTGTCACAAGGGGTTCTGGAGGTGACCAAACTAGACCATATTAGACCAATCCAGCTCTGTGTTTGTTAGAATTTCATTGGAATACGATGGAATACCCTCCCACCAATGGATGTTGGTTCATGTCCTCCCTTTAAGGCGTTTAAGGGGTGGTTGGGGGGGTCCGCTTTCGTTTGTGCGACCGTTTTTTGTCCTGCCTGTCTTGGGTGAGAGGCGGACTGGCGACAGTCAAAGGGCTGGAGCTCAGGGAGTGTGTGGATCCCAAAAAAGGAATCCCGGTCGGTCGATTTCGAAAGAGAGCCAGAGTACCGTACCTAATAAAGGGACCCGTAAGTGATGGGACCATCCCGTATATCGTGGATTTGTGAAACACCAGATCAAGAACCCATAGACAGCTGGTCACTAGTTTTGATATGGCCTTAGTTCCCGCACTCTATCCACTGCTTTGACACACTTACTGACTATTGGCAAGATCCCGCCAAAGTTTTTGCAGATTATGTAATCTGCGCAGGGTCGTCAACAGCTGTATGCCCAAGGCCAGAATCCGTTTACTGGGGCGCCAACGGTGCTTCTAGTGGCTGCTATTGGCGCGCTTGTCCCCTGGCTAATCAGACACAATGAAGAATTCTCCTGTGCCGCTGTAGACCCCCTTCTCGAAAGAAAAGACTGAATATGGGAAAGCGAGTTCTCTCTTTAGGCCCTTTAATCAGGTCTCTCTTGATTGAAGTATTTCTTGCAGGCATTGTTTGGGTCGCCCAAAAAACAGAAAAACATAGTATTATATATATATATATATCATATATATATACACACATTTATCATGGAGCCATTGTTTGGTGGATGACCCTCGAACTGGTGTTCCTGTATCGTCACACCAGTTTTCACTGCGGCACTCCTTGGCGGCGAACATGATCTTACGAGGACCCAACCCCTGCAGATGATCCCATGGACCCTGAGAATTCACCCATGGTTTCGACCAAGAAACCCTCTACCCAGTGGTTTTGGGGCTCCATGTGTGTGTGTGTGTTACACCCTTTCTCCAAGGGCTTTGCGGCTTTGCGTTTTTTGCATGAATTCAGCAGCAGGGGGGGCAGTGATCCCTTCAGCAGTCACTGCCTAACAAAGACACTGCTGATCGTGTGTGTGTGTGTCTTTTTGAGGGATAGCTCTGCAGAATTCATGGGAAAAGCTCGCTGCGGGGCCACGCGGATCAACTCCGACCCTTGGTCCGTCGCTCGTTCGCTCGGGTCAGGTTCAGTGGTTCTTGGACTAACGACCCCCGCCGCGCCGCGACAGGGTGAAGAGCTTAGTAGTTGGTGTTTGAACCCTTCTCCCAATCGAGGTTGGGGGCACTTGACAAGCTGTTAGCACAGGCTGCTTAACTCCTATTCACCACGGTCGGAGACATGTTTTGTCTCCTGAAAGATTTGGACCGACCACATTCACGCTCTGATACCGCGGGTCCAAGCAAGATCAAGTTCAGAAACTCATGAGGCAATTGAACGTGAAAGAAATTCCTACAACATTCCTGAGATCAAATGAACTTAAGTTTCTATTATTGATCGCCAGGAGTCTTGTTCCTTGTAAAGCAAATCCTGTGCGCTGCGCGGCGCACAGTGTGTGCATCTCCGATTCGGAGAAACTCATGAGATGCTTGGTCTCATGACTGGAGCTTAGCTTCGCACGGCCAGCATGGGTTGGTCGGGCCAGCGGTTGAGCTGAGAGGTAGAGCTGAGCCGGAGAAATTGGAGAAATCAGACGTCGCCAATCTTCCCATATATATAGGTATATATATATATGTCTAACATATGCAAAATTGTTTGGAGGTGTGGGAGAGAGGATTTTGGTACATGTTGGTAATTACTCAATCTTCCCATCAAAAGAGATTTAGAAGTCACTGAGGGCGGTCCAACATGTCCTTGTCCCATGCCCAAAGTGGCCTTTGGGATATGTGTAATAAAGCCAAGAGAACGGCCCCCCCTGGACCATTCTAGACCAAGGTCCTCTCCACTGTGAAGACGGACAGTCGGACAAATGCAATGCTATTTATTTCGGAAACGGTCCAAAAAGGAGATCTTGTAGTGTTTGTTGCAACGCTTCCAAACTGATGTTCACCATTGCGTTTGCATATATGTATATAATATATATATTTTTTTGTGTGTACGTTGGGTGCTTCCAGGTGGGTCCTTTTGCAAGTCAAGTGCATTTGTCCCCAGTTTGTATTTTTTGTTGCGGTGCAGTGCCTTTCTAGAATGCTTAGCAGATCTTAGCAGGCTTAGTCATTTGTCCATAAACAGTTCTATAGTTGTTTACATGTGTTTGTTCATTTGTCATCATTTGTCCATTTCGGGACTTTTGCAGCAGCCTCGCTTCTTGCTCAACGCGTCCTAGCCCTGCGGGGTGGTCTGAAGTACAGCCAGACGCGGGCAACACTTGTGCGGACAAATAGGGTTTGAGCAGCGAGAGTTGTGCTGGATTTGTTTCAACTACCAGGGCCCGGTTTGAGGCGGTGAATGCACACTCTATAACCCCCGAAACGGGGTTTGCTAGATGGTATACGGTATGGTATACGTCATATGTGCAATTGTTGTTCTTTGAGTCGTTTGGGTGTCGTTGTCTCTATGCTTTGCATGGCAAGTGCTGAGTGTGTCGTTCTGCTCACGCTACTGTAAGGACACTGATTTGGGGAAATACAACCCAACAACCATTCGTTTCAGTGTCAATTTTCTGGCTGCGTTTGGTAGCTGCACAGCACCTACAGCAAAATGACCAAATTTCACTGGATCTTCTATGCCCGGTTCATCAAGGTGACCGACCTTGGATATCCTGCTTATTCGCTCCAGGACACTTAATTCAAGCAAGTCCGCAGTGGCTCGCAAAGGATCGCCGCCACAAAAGGTGCTTTATGGTTCTTTGCCATTTGGGTCTTCCGCTTTAGAGTGCTCCAAACCAAAAACACGGCCAGAATCGGGCAAGGCCTCTTCCTCCTCCGGCCGCTTCCTTTGAAAACAACAATGACACCAAATAAACAATTATATATAACGACTAATAAACAAAACACCTCCGAGTGGTGGATGTTCCCAGCTGTCGTTTTCTTCCCGCACAGCAGCGGAATTTCATCCAATCTCGGTTGGTCCTGACGTTTTTTCGGGACGTGATCGTGCGGGTCCTGACGGAACGAGGCATGGGTCTTCAAGGGAAGCATGCAGCTCCCATCAGTGCCTGGGCGGATTTCCAGGGGCTGATATACGGATATACGTTAGACGTTAACAAATTCTATGTTTCAACTACATTCTCTCTCTCTCTCTCTTGAAAGGTGGCAATCAAAAACCATGCTGTGTTTCTGGGCGGACTGGTGCGGCAAGCCCCACGGTGAGAGATGCCCTACAAACCAACAGGGCATGGGTTGAAGATTGGACAGATGACAAGACGTCAGACATCTCTAGGACAAGCGGACATTAGAGATGTTTACAGCAAAATCAAGAAACATATTCATTCATCAGTGTTCACTTCCATGTGTTTTCCCTCTTGGATGCTAAATGATATGGGCGCAGATTCACCTTCCAAGATCTTCCAAGGAGGATTAATGGTAACTGGCACAAGTGGCACTGGCACTAACCAGTCGGCCTCAGGGACGTAGGTCGGCGAAGTGGACGTACGTGTTTCAAGCCAATCTCTTGATCTCTTGGATGGGTATATAACACAAAGCATCATAAAACCCTTGAACGAACCCGATCAAGACTGCTTTTGTTGATTTAAACGCCGTTTTAGAGGCAGTTTGGATGTATTGATTCGATTGGCTCGCGGATCTCTTTGAACCAATGACACGTCATGATGAATCATGACAGACGGACCCATGGAGGTTCGTGAACCCATGCATGAACTGATTGTGACTTAGCAGAATCTGATGGCTTTGGAAAGGCTGCGAAACCTGGCACAGGACGTATGAGATGTAGAATGTAGAACTAAAAGCAAGACAAGCAGGACTTGGATTGATCCAAAACCCTTTGATTTGCTAGCTTGGCAAGTCCACCAGATCTCATTGAATGATCTAAGATCCTACAGTAAGTAAAAAGCAAAACATGACGATTGCATGAGAACCTCGTCCAATCCTCCAAGATTATGTTATGTTATGTTAATTGTTTTCTGAGTTGCTGAGTCGATGCTCTTTGGCTTTAGAATATCTCCAGTCCCCTTTACTCGTCTTCTTTTCAGGAAAGGAGTCCTTCTTAAGGGCGGGGGGTGTCCGATTAGTTTTCAGATTTCTCGAAAGAGAGCCCCACCGTCTCCGTGGAAACTGATATCGGCTGCAGATCAAGAAGTCCTTGGCGAGTTCTATGGCATTGTGAAGTGCCTTGGTCGCAGTTAAGTTTTTGTCGCTTGAGTTGCTCAAAAAACAAGTCGATGCTGCCCAGGTGGCAAATGCAGCGTGACATGGGAGATTTGAGTGACGACTCCCCTTCTTTCCGGCCAATGGGGTCAAGACAATTGAGAATATTGCTGTTCTGTGAAGAGGCGCTTTGATTGAACAATTATACAATAAATTGCTGTGATGCTGAAAGGATCTAAAAGACATATCAGTATTGATAAGTATCTTCACATCCAGCAAAAACAAAAACAGAGTGGTGAAGGGTTTGGACAGCCGCAAAGCTCGATGCCCTTCGCTGTGATAGGCTTCAGAACAGCTACCCTTATGCTGTGTTAAGCTGTATTGACTGGAGTGCATTGCCAACAGTCACCTGACCTTCATGGATGCCACAGAATGCCCATCGACAGCATGCCCAAGCATGCCATGATCTTCAGATCTTTCCTGAACTCTTAAGGTGCAGAGTGAGTGTGCCTTGTTCACCACCAAAACTGGTCATCTTACCTCATCAGGTCCATATACACAGGGCATTCCCAGTCGGAACCTAGAATCATACCTGGTAGGTGGTTTTTGGTCCATGATCTTCCAAAGGGGCGGCCCTGATCCTGGTTCTTGCCCAGCTCAGCTCAGGAGCTATAATCCGGAAAAGGGATTTGGGTCGAAGCCTCGGGAGTCAAAACGAGTGGCGCCAATCAAAAAGGGTGACAAGAGTAAATGGTTTATTATATATGGATTTAATATGGATCGATGTATATTATAGGGCCATATGACTCCCAAAGAAAAAGCTACGATCCTTTCGGTTTGTCGATGTTTTTGGTTCGTGTCCCCCACTCAACTCAAAGAGGGTTTGGGTCAAATTGTTTGTTCCCTTTGCCGTTGCCCATGGTTTCTAGCAGTCTCCATATTTGGAGACACCTCCATGTAGGTCGGCTGGTAGGTCGGTGTCGTCGAGGATACGTGACACCTCCCGAATGGGAAACGTCCAATCCACTGGGCCCCAGAGGCCCACTCCGCTCCGGAAAAGGGTCGGAGATCTGCTACCATCATGCCCTCTTCCTGTCAATTCCAGTTGCCGATTTGATCTATCTCGGTGTGTAATCCATGGATGTGTTCATGCCATGTAAGAGAATGGGGGGCCCCGGGGATGTCCCGGGGGGATGGAATGTCACATTTGCAAGTTGACAACTTATGACTTGGACGGCTCTGGGTGGCGTAGCAGATACTTCTTTTTGAGCCGTTTGGTCTCTAAGTGGGGGGGTTCAGGACGTGCTCGAAATCAGACCCTCCCACACCGCTCCATCCGAAAGTCGGAGCGCTGCCTTTGTTCGTCTTTGCACGGACAATGCGAGTGTGACATCTCAATGCTCGTTGTCGGGTGGTTGGCCAACTCAGCTGACGGGAACCTGAGGTTCATCGTTTGCGACGCCTTGAAACATCAGCACGACGGCGATGTGGGAGCCATGGGTGTGGGTATGGGAGCAAATATGGTCGCTCAGGGTCGCTCAAATGGCAGGTTTTTCAACTCAAACATGAAGCAGAAACCAACCGAAGGCTGTGTTTCTTGCGGGACTTGGTCGAATCCATCCACTGTCAACGGAGGAATGTTCCATTGAAACATACCACTTTTCAGAGGGGCACGCTAGAGGCTGGTTCTTTGGGTGCGATTCCTTGAAATGGACTCAAGTAGGAGTACAAGGACGTTTGGGCCCTTTACTATCCTTACTAATCCTAAGATGGCCCCCACGTGACCCGCGTGTCAACCAATCCATTTAGAAGTTTGATGACACGAGCCACGTCCGGTTGAAACGTTTGGTATCAATAACCTAGGCAAGTGCAAACTGGACATGAACAAATTTTGAATGTTTAGGTTGTTTAATGCTGCTTATAAGTACTTGTAATTAGTTTTAGAAGTTTGTGCTGGTCATTTTCGTCAACAATTCTTCACCACAGATACGGGATTGCCTGTCAAGAAAGCCCTTGATGTTGCTTGCTGCTTTTTGCTCGTTGCCTTCAGTCCGTGCCCACCATGAGGTCTATTTGCACAGCCGGCACATCGGCGATTTCAAGGCCAACGAGGGGGCCGCTGGTTTCCATTTGTTGGTTTACCAAGCTGTATAGAAAGGAGCCTTTCACTGGCTGTT